TTATATTAATTGGATGTCTTTAACATGCAATATTATTAAACAATTTTTTAACATCCCAACTAACATTTATTAAAATGTTGAGATTGATACTCACCAGTATTAATAAGACACACCATCTTATTGTATAATATGAAAATTATATTCACAATTTAAAATGTGAACAATAATTTCACAAACTTCGGGTTGTGAACAACATGCAATCATCGAGTATTTGTATCAAATCTATTAGATACAAATAATATCTAGATGGTCAGCGTGGAGGATGATAGGGACCCCATTTGTCACCCTAATTAATTTTCAAAAATATAAGAAATTTGATCCATATTTTAGTTAGTGATGATCAATTTTCGATAAAAAGAACAAATAACATATAGAGTTCATTGGATTGAAGAATCTTCAGGTTTTTCGTTGAATGTCCATTTGAATTTTAAATTTCCCGTCATTATTGATCTAGTGAATGTCCAACTGATCATGCCAAACAATAATGCATTTAATAATTGAACTTCTAGTTCAATATAATATTTGTTTCAATTGTACCACACATTTAGAAACTTAATATTTTTTTTGTTTAATTTGATAGAGAATAAATTACTATCAATGGTAAACTTTTATCCTCCCACATAATGCAGTATTAACTCTTCTACAGTATCAAAACAATGTTCATCTTCAATATTAATATATACTTAGTTATGATTATTTTCAAGTAATAGAACAATATTTTTTCAGGAATATTGATATAAATAAACTATTGCTTATTTAGCAACAACTTAATTAAAATTGTTATTCTTTAGGATCAATACAATATTTACATTGAAATGTCTAAATTGCGATTCTTCAAAAATAACAACATNTGTCTAAATTGCGATTCTTCAAAAAATAACAACATAATATTCTTGAAGAATATTAATAAATATAAACGTGTGCTTCTTTCATAGCAACACAATATTGTTCAAGAATATTGATTTGTATTAATTGATTCAATTAATTCTACAATGCTTTTCTGGAATATATAAATGTCGGCTCGTATTTTGTTTCAGAATAACAATAATATCATACTCTTCAGGAGTAATAGCATATTATTGTTTAGAGTAATAAATTATTTAAGAATTTATTCTTTAGGGGTAAAAACATAAGTTATGTTATATTTTACATGATTATGCATTTCGAAAGCAAGTAAAATCTAACTAAAATATTAACGAGAATTATAATGTACTACTTTGAGAGAAAATTATATTTTATTATTACTTCTTAAGCACAATATATCAATATTCCTCTAGAATATTGAAAATTATAATTCATATTCTTCAGGAGCAAATAATATTTTTTCTAGGATATTAATTATAGTATTGTGCTACTTCGGAAGCAACAACATGATGTATTATCAATTTAAAGTTTATAAAGGAACATCTAAATATATTTTGTTGACCCCAAAAAATGTTGCCAACAGATGCCGGGCCCACTCGTGCACACGTAAGCTTAATCCAACACGCTAATGCCGATCGACTGTCATGAGGACTCCAGAAAACGAGCGTGGGAGTGGCTAAAA